CTGGCATCGTTATGCCAGGCTGAAGTACATGGGCGTGTAGATTCGACTGATGAGAGACGCGTTATCCATCTGCTTTGCTAGACCGAAGTCGATGAGCTGATCGCTCCCTCGTCAGCTCCCCGTAAAATCGCCTCCTCCTCCTCTTCCCCCTCCTCCTCCTCCTCCTCCTCTTCCACTAACCACCACCACCACCACCACCACCACCACCACTCCTTCGTCTCCTCCTCCTTCATGATCACTGCCCCCCCCCCCCCTCCTTGTCACCTGCACCTTCCTCACCTTCTCCCTCCTCCACTCTCCTCTTCCTCCGACCTCGTTTCCCTCTCCCTCATTCTCGACCCCTCCATCTCTTCACCTTGATATGCAGAGTTGAGAGGACGACGATGATGTTCGATGGTTTGATATCTCGATGAACGATCCCTGAGACAACAGTGAAAGGACAATCATCCCCTCTGATCAGAATGAAAGAGCATTCCTCTCCGATCGTTGGAGATGAAATTGAGATATCTGCATTTCTTCTCCTCTCCTCTCCTCTCCTCTCCTCTCCTCGTCTCCTTCCTTATCCTCCTCCTCGCTCCTCACCGGCTGAATGTGCAGTGACGAGCGCATGGAGGACGCCGATGACGATGGAGATGGTCTGGTCCTCCGAGAGGTAACCCTGGCAGCTAGTCAGCAACTTCATCCTACCGGCAAGCAGCAAGCAGCAACTTCTACGATCACAGCAGGTCTCTCTCACCTGAGTATCCAAGATCTGCTGCAAATCTGCCATGGCAACGGGCAACTAAGTGTCAGCTAGAGGAGCTACTCGGCTTCCGCTGCAGAGCTACCTGTCCCCGGCACGACTTCCATCACGAGGTACTGCGACCCGTCGTTGTCCTGCCGTCCCACCGTCACCAACTCCTAGTCCCGTCGCGTCAGGGCAGGCTGACCTGCCCCATGTCAAAGTAGGTGACGATGTTCGGGTGCCGGAGACTGGCAACTGTTCTCATCTCCTGCTTCCATCTTGCGACCGAGTCAGGCCTCAGGCCCCACACGACCGTTCCCACCTGTAGAGCACGTCCCCAGCAGAGTTGCCCGGCATCAACTTTACCACGACCTTTGCATCGTCATTGTCATGGTCATCGTCACACTCCTCATAATCATCATCATCGTCACAACCACCACCACAGTCGTCGCCATCATAATAATCAATGTCACATCATCAACATCATCATCATCACTCGTCGTCGTCATCGTCGTCATCATCATCATCAACATCGTCAACAGATGGGAAAGGAAGATCTCGCAACCTCGCGGTAGAACGATGGGCAACCAGTGTCGTGACCGAGGTACACGATCGTCTTCTGTCCTCCCTTGAGCCTACGAATCTCTTTGTATCGCTGACGGATCTTCGACGGATCACAATCAGACGCAGGTAGAGGACAGTCAAAGAAGCAAGCCAGCTCACAGCAAGAGGAGGGCCACTAATGTTGTTGATGGTCTGATGCACCAGCGCCGTCACTGGGGTAGCTGGTGGAGGGCTGGTCATGCCGACGACCGTCTCAGATCGTCAATGTGCTTCACACCTTCCTGCGTCGTGTTGATGAGGGACGAGTCGGTGTACGAGTCTCGACGGCTGTCCCTCATCCTTGACTTGTCGTCCATCCTGATAGACGGCGGCGGCATGACAACGCTGAAGGAGACTGAGCCATCGCCCGGCGTGCGGGTCACGACTGATTGTCGCTTCGCGTCTTGAGGAGGAGAGTTCTCAGAGCCCGCACTTGACTGCAATGATCTTAGCGTCAAGAGACCTGACGAGCGTCGCAAGTTACCGTCTCGTAGCTATCGTCGTGCCCCTTGGTCTGCCATTGTTTGTAGTTCATCGACCCTGCTGCTGGTATCCCCGTGGCTGGCCTGCGGGGGAAGGTTTGTGCTCGCCTGCACTGTCATCCTCTCCTCACCTGTCCGTTCCTCTGAGGAACTCTTCAGTGCCATGAGTGGTGCGGTATCTTGATCGTGAAGTCCCCGAATGTGAAGTCCCGGAGTCCTCTGGACTGGTGCTGGGAGTCCTTTGGCGCCTGGAAGACTTCTTGCTCCGTCCTCTCGTTGACCTGGCTCGTTCTGTCATCTGCTGCTCCACCGCATCCCTCGGTATCAGAGGACTGATCGCTGTAACTCGGTCGCCGTTGGAAAGCACCTGCAGCATTTCAGTCCCACTGGAGTGAACGAGAGGGGAGAAGAGACCTCGGACACACTGTCTCCCTGGAAGAGGATGGCTCCAGAACGTTCGATCAGAGAGTCCGCTGCTTCTATCAGTGACGCGTCTGTGTTCTCAGGGAGCATCATCCTCGCCCTTTCCTTCGCCTGGGCCCAACCAAGGTTCAGGAGGAGGGACGAGCGAGAAGGCAGGGAGGACAGGACTGACTCACCTTGATCAGCAGGTGGCGGATGCTGTCTTTGGCCTTGCAGGGGACCTTCACTTCGCCCAGCCCGGCGACCCCGAGGAAGGAGACGTACACGCACCATGACCCTCCTCCGCTCTCGGTGCCCATGGCGCCCCGAAATCTCGCTGAAAGACGGTTATGCGAGTCAAATTACAGTTACGGGAAACGGCCGAACACCCGGTGACTCCTGCCGCCGGTGTCACGGCAGTCGGGGGCCGAGTCCGATCGGCGACACGGGGTGACCGCGGCCGCTGAGTGCACCCGGGCCGATCAGCGCCAGTGACCTGCGCGGCCGGGCAGGCCAGGCTCAGGCTGCCAGGCTGGGACTCAGTCGGAGCGATCGGCTAGCGGCCGCGGCTCCGAGTCCGATCACTCAGTGATTACCGTCCGGGCATAATCATCGGACTGAGAAATGAGATGCAAAGACATCGCCTAGGGGTCAGTCTATCCAATTCATTCAATTCTACTCTTGATACACGAAAGCTGCAAAACAGGGCCCAACGAGTCGCGGCCTCCAGTGTGTTCTCACTTGATAGCGACCTTTCGCATCTCCGAACTGAGCGTCGGCGCATCAAAATGACCTGCTTTGTCCAGCACTTTCTGCAAGATTATGAAATACGTGAGTTTGATCGAAATAATTCTGACTTTCTTACTTTGATCGTTGTGCATACAAGGCAGTTCTCCTATTCGTTGGGAAACACAGACCGTCAAAAAGGTGCAGACACCACAATAGCGAACTTACAGGACATTTCGTGCCGATCAAATGACGAATCATGTGTTCGAACTCCGGCTTCAAATAAGTCCGTCAGTTTCAGTTTTGGAAGGAGTTGATTTGGAGCTCACCAGATCGTAAGCACCATTGTTATCGGCATCGAACTCGTCCATCAGTACATCAATTTCATCTTCTTTGAGTCTCCTACCCATCTCCAAGAATGCCGTTTGTACTTGCTTCCGCTCTAACAGGCCTTTCTCATTGGCATAAGCATCAAACGTCACTTTGATGCGAGACGACAGCTCCGATGGTTTGATCGACGAGAAATAGTCTCTTAAACAAGTGCTGGACGCCTCCAAGGCCCTGCGAACCCGAAGCCGTCAACATCAAACTTCAACAAGAGGTTAAACATCACTTCTGCGCAAGTGCCATGGCCTCCTCTGTGTCTTGACGAAACAATTCGGCGCGTTTGGAAAGCTATCCACCAAGTCATTTTACCCGACAGGGCGCTTGGAAATACACACCAATGCTTCCTCGGTCAAATCCTTGAGGCGGCTAAGTGGAAGGCGCAGGAACGACGTGCGAGATCTTGGGGATAGCTGGGAAATGACTGAAAGTCAGCAGTTTACAATGTGACGCAAGCGTTGCATCAACCTCGACGGGGTTAAAAGCCTGTAGCACGATTAAACTCACTGACCCAAACAGCAAAGGTTGTACAATTCACCAGGGTATCATCTGATATCTTCTTCGTTGATGGAAGTTTAAGTAAGGAGTCCAAGCACCGTGATGAGATCTGAGTTGTTAGGTCATGAATGACTCAAAATGGTTCTAACGAGTGAGACCTTAGTCATGTTAGCCGTAGCCATGCCAGTTGTGCCCGGTATACATTTTTTCATATCCAAGGCAGTAGCTGATTTCCTTCGCTGTAATCCTATTGGCGTTGGTGGTTTTTTTATGGCAACGAAATCCGTGAGCTCCTTGTTCAGCTTCATTACTTTGTCGCCCACGTTGATCCGGAACAATTTCTGTGAATCGGGATCCAGTGAGTCTATCACTTCGTGGTAGGCTTCCAGGCACTCTTGCAGCATCGCTTCCGCGTCCTGATTTCCATCAGCATGTCAGTTGTGAATCAACACTCGGGCGGATCTCCCGCGCAGCACCTCAATGTCCCGCATCAAAAACTTCTCACTCGAGCATTCCTTCACAAAGTGTACTAGCTGCCTTGCTTCCTCGAACAGGTGGTCGAAGCGCTTCCTCTTGGAGTCTACCTGCTAGCACATGCGTCATCCATCGTCATCGTCATCGTCATCCATGGCCGCGGCAGCAAGGAGCATGAAATAACACGAACCTCAGCCATGCCGAGCTAATACGACCACCGGTAGCCTGCCCTGCAACCTAGCACCCCCACCCTACCCCTCATTATGGATCTCGAAATCACGGCTTTCTAGCGTCACTACCCACCTGTTTATCCACACACTACCCCCTCCTCCCCGATCACCCCTGCACGGATCCCATCCATCGAAAAAAAAAGGTCAGATCTGGAATCTTTGCGTGAACGAAAAAGCAATGGGGGTGTTTGATAAAAATTCTCAGATATCCTGAAAATAATTCTCTTTGATTTCAAAGTTTCAAGATATCTGGGAGACAATTTATGAAGACTTTTCACAGTGTGTCAAACTGATTGAGGTGGGTAGGGTACCGTAAGGCTACGTCTGGAGTAAAACTCTACAAGAGCGTTTTAAAAACGTGTCAGCCTTAAATGGTACAGATCACAGTTGAGTAAAACCAACTATTAAGAGATTATACTACTCTTATTTTATACTGGCGTGACTCTTGCGAATGCCACGGCACCGATCATCCGATTGCTCGGCGGCGCCGCGCCCCGCGGAGACGGAGGCTCAGCCCGGGGCGGGCGCGGCGGCGGCGGCCCGCGGGACCCGGCCCCGCGGCGGCGTCACCGGCCCCGGAGCCTGATCAGTGGACTCCACTTATCCTCATATCAGTTAAGGTGCAACTTTACTCACTTCAGTTAAGGCTGCTGTGACCGTACTTTGAGTAACTTGCTGCTGTGACTGGCCCGGCCCGGTGATGATCGGATCGGACTCCGGGACCGGCCGGGCGGTCGGGCGGCCCCCCGGCGGCCCGGTGTCCGGCCCGCCGCCGGGCCCGTACGGTCCGACAGAGCCGGCGGCGGTACAGATCATCACCCTCATATTCCGCGCATCCGCCGCTGGCAGCAGCGATGCTCGTGGGAATGCAGCGAATGAGGGCGGGTGCGGTGCGGGCGCTCGGGTCGCTTGCAGGAAGAAGTACCGCTCAGAGCATGCAAACTAAGACCATCTCCTCGACATCCCTCCGTCAGAGGTACTTCTCCTCCTTCTCATCGCCCATGAGCCGCTTGTCAACGTTCGGTGCTGTGAATTCAATGGCTCCAAGAGGTTTGATGGCTGTTCCTACCCTATGGACCTCGCCCATGCCGATGGCGGGTACAAAGTTGGGGCTGGTGGCATGGGAGCAGACGAGAGGAATGAGACATAGGCAGAAGAAGAATAAATTGAACCGTCCATATGACAGGAGGTACGGGACGAGCTTTTGTTTGATGTCCAAAGGGATTTCTGACTGATAGATGTGATTTTTTGTGTTCTCTTGTTTCCAGGATGGCCATGTTGAGAAATATGGCAACTGATCTCATCATGTATGAAAGGATCAAGACGACTGTGGCACGAGCTAAAGCGGTTGACCCTTGGCGGGCATATGCGCTGTTTACTGATATGCATGGCAGCTTCGGCGAGTGGCGGATCGGATGGTGACGCTCGCGAAGCAGGGAACGTTAATGGCCCGTCGACAGCTTGGAGGATTTCTGAGGACAGGAGAAAGCATCTCAAAGCTCTTCTTGGACTTGGTCCCGCGGTATGCGCAGAGGCATGGCGGTTACACACGCATAGTGCGATGCATCGCTCCTCGTAAGGGAGACAACGCGGACATGGCATGGATTGAGTACATAGACCGCGAAGGAGAGCTCCGTCCTTGCAAGCCTGCTGCTACAAGGCTTCCCTACTCCAAGATGATCAAGGTTGCTGAGACGGCTAATGATCAGCACCTGGTGGATTACTACAAGAAACTGCAAGAGCAAGTGGTGGAGACAACGAACAAGAGATTGCAGGATCTGGAAGGGAAGAAAATTGTCGTCAAGGACTTAAGATTGATCAAGGAGAGACGCAAACAAAGAGCTGAGGAGAAAAAGAATCAAGTCGAGGCCGTACCTAGTCAGGGTTGATTTGTTCTTCATCAATACAATCACGACAAGATTTCTTTTTGTTTGTTTTACTTTCCTTTTTTTTTATACACTTTCATCTAATATCATTGCATTGGAATCTAGTTCCTCCTGTAAATGTACAAATATCATCACTTGAGCGTCACTGATTCAAAACAAGAGGGTGTTAGTTTCGGAGGCCTGGGGTCATCTTGGATCAGCCCGCCTGCTGGATCCTCCCGCGGAGGAAGCAAGAGAAACGAGGGCTGGGAAAAATCTTGCACTGCTTCACAGAATTGCGGAGGGGGGAGAGAGGAGTTGGAGAAGGAGGCTGCCAAGAAGCCAGCAGCGTCCTGTTGCTCCCGGCATCGTTGGTGCTTGCTCTGTTTTGCTTCATCGCCTCTGAAGAATGCAACGGGAACTCATCTTTCTTCGAACGTTCCGCCACCAGATTTAGCAGCCGTCTCAAGGTCAAGTACGGCGTCCGAGCTCGCTGCTTGTTCCTTCCTGAAGAGCGATCTTTGGCCCCGCGGCGGCTGAGACCTACCAGCTCAGGCTCCAGCTCCTGGTCCAGCACAAGCTCGTCAATGTACTTGATGTTCAATATGTCGAGATCCTTGTGGATTAAGACCTCAGAGGCTCCCCCCCGCTCGTCTTGCACGTCATTCTCAGGCTGTATGATCCTGAAGATAGCATCTGGATCATCCCATGAAGTGTCGGATACTGAGTCGAGAGTCGAAGAAGCCGTGTCCTCCTCCTCCTCCTCCTCCTCCTCCTCTTGCGCAGTCTGGGGAGATTCACAGACGTTGCCTCCCTTATCCGCAAGCCTGACATCGAGCGCACTGCAGAGAAAATCGAGGAACTGCTTCAAGTCTTCCTGGTTTGCAACCTCCGTTGAAATCCCACCTGAGCCCTGACCCTCTGCGCTCCAGTACGTGCCGGTGCCACGATCGTCGATCGTACACGATGCTGAGCCTTGAGTGCCTTCCTGCTGTTCCTCGCAAGGTTGCAAACAACAGTGCAACAGTTCGACGAAAGGCAGGAGTGACCCTCTGTCCTGCTGGCTGATCAACTTCCCCTTTGCTGAGGAATCAAACGTTACATCGAGGGCCTCACAGGTTGACAGGAGGGCAACATTTCTCCAAGTAGCCATACTCTCGGAGACAAATCTCTTCAGCCTGTCCGCAACCTGCTCTCCAAACTGTGCTGCCTGCTCGGTTTCCCCACACTTCTTGATCAGCCTCATCGTTCTGCCACCTTCTCCCGGAAGTGTCAGTATCCTTTCCACACTGCTCTCACTGAGACACGAGGGATTCTTGACGAACTTGGCGACGGTTAGTATCATGTCCAATGATCGAACACTGCATTCCATGGTGGAGATCACAGTGTAGAGCAGCTCAGCGAAGAAGTTCGACAACAGAACGACAACGTTCTGCTCGACAGCCCTTCCCGTGAAGTCCGAGGAACCATGGTGGAAGATTTCCACTATCATCTGAGTCAAAGTGACCAGGGCACAGATCGGCGCGCCGGTGTAGTGCGAGCGAATGAAGCTCTTCACGTATCTCAATGGGTCGTCAAACCTGCCCTGCAGCATGAAGCAGGTGTCCATGAACGAGTCCGCAAAGAGCGTGCCATAGCTGTCCTCACAAGCAATATCCTCCGGGAGCAGAATCTTGTGACAAAGAGCGTGCGCGTACAGAGTCAACCCGTTCAGGACATTCAGAGGTTCGTCGACCACGAGGGTCTTGGCGGCAGCAAGATCGAGTGCTCTCTGAAACGACTCTGTCATAGTGAAAGCATTGACAGGCATGACACCCGCAAGCTGCTCCAAGTTCAGAGGAATCACAAACGAGTTCGCGTCATCAAAGTACTTGCGCCCTCCCTCTAGGTTCCTCCAGAACTCAATGTCGATCGCTTTGCCAGAGTTGAAGTCTCCAATGGAAAGGAGGCTGAAGCTGTTTCCAACGACAACTTGCTTCTGGAAGTACTTTGTCCGAACAAGTGTTATCATGCACGCTGAAGGGTCCTCTGCCTGAAGGATCAGCCGCAGCTTCATGGCCAGGAGTTCTTCAATGATGTTCCTACAGATGTCGAAGCATGACATGTCGCACCCGAAGAGTTTCGGGATGTAGAATCGAACGTCAAAGTCAGTGGGAGGATTTGGAAGGTTCTCAATCTCAACATCAGTGCAGACAACCCTGTGGGCCACACTTCCGTACACCTCCGCGAACATGGGCGCAGCCTGCCCTCGCCTCCCGCATCCTTTGGAGGCAAAGCTTGCCAGCGTGTACCGAATGATCTCGGCAGGTGTCACGAAGATGGACGGCAAGTTCTCATTGCCAGCCTGAGGCATCACGGCGATCTCCTCATCTAGGAATCCCTTCAAGCATTTCATCCCCTTCTCGCCGAGCACCCTCTTCGACTCTGCATTCTTGCGCCACTTGTCTCTGGTCCTTGAAGCGTCATGTCCTCTGGTCTTGTGCCTCTTCAATGGACCAGAGGCGGCAACCTCGTTGCACATCTTGAGAACGGCTTTTCTTCCTTCTTTCCTGGAGCTACCGGGAGTTCGAGCACGCAGGGCAACAAGGCAAAGGTTCTCCTTGTATAAACTGCCCCAACCAAAACAGTCAAGTCTGTCTCAATACATACGGCACACTGCTCGACGAGTGCTGTACGCCAGTTATGTCCCTCCCTGCCAGTCAGGCTCGCCGCCTTGCCCCTTGAATGTCCTCGGGCTCGCGAACCGAGGGCACTGCCGTTGACCCCTGGGCTGATCTCTGTACTTGTACAGTTTAGACACTCCTGGCTGAAGACTGAGCGACACAACAAAGTCGCCGAGCGTCGATCCTTCTCTCTCGCTCGCTGTTCTTCTTGTCGGATCTCCGTCGCTCTGATCTCTTCCTCCCTTCCTTGCTCCGTACTCCGCTCCTTCTCTTCAGTTCACCAAGCGTCGCTCCGTCGCTTTCCTCCCGCAACCACCTACCTGTTTCCATTACCCTACCCCTGACATCAAAATTCCACCCCCTTTCGTCACCACTACCCCTTAGAAGCACATACATGTGAAACAAAGTTATGGTATCTTTGAACCTTCCTTATTGTTTGCTATTGTTCTACTTAGAACTTATCAATGGTTGGAGGGATAATATTTCCCTTGATTTACCTACCCTTGCAACCATGAGCCTCTGTCCGTAGGTACCCCCATATTCCTAACATTCAATTTCTAACTACCCTATCTTGTATCCTCTGTACCCACCCTGATGTTGCTTTAGAGTATCACCCCCTACCCCCCTTACTACATCAAAGTACCCCAATTTTTTCACATTCACTACCATGACATACAATCCTACCCACCCCCAACTGCAACTTCAACTCACCCCCTGGAGCGATAACCCCATCACTCACTTGACCCCCACCCCTTATCACAACTCTCTTTACCCCTCACCTCGACCACATTTTGATTCGGTGACCCAACCCTTCAAATTGTCGTTGGCCCGGTACCCCTCCTACACATCACCACCTACCCGTCATGAAGCTAACTTCTCACACCTGGGATGTCACAGGCTGTCTCTTTTCGGGAAGGTATAGGGATGTGGATTTTCCATATGAAGATAATCATATATTTTATCATCTATGCATACCCTTGATCGAGTCCAATCTCTTGACCCCTCCGACAATACTACTACCCCTAGTCATCACCATCTGGTTGGATGACAGGGGGGGTGCCTAAACCCGGCGCGGTGGCGGCGGCCCGATGCGGCTTCATCAGTACCGCAACTAGTAGGTTGTGAGTTGACTAATTAATTAGTTATCCAGGGAGTCCTTTTAGCGGCAGATCAATTTTAAGATGATACCACAGACAGAAATGATACAAATGTGTAGAAACAAATCATTTTATACATTACAAAGTATCCAAAAAAAGGATCATTTTTCTTACATGTCTCAACATGTACCTTGTCAGGGGTTAAATTCAATTTGAAATGAATCTAAAAATAAACTCCAATAATACCAGTAGTCATGTAAACTTCATATGGTTTTAATTTAGTATGAAATATGTATTCGTTGCTGTACCACGAATTGGAGATTCTAGAAAACCAACTTGGTTTGGACACCGGTAACGGACCGGGTAAGGGCGTTCAATTCATTATACGGGTGGGGTACTCTTTTGTTCCTACCACGGTGGGGTATGTTAGATGACTACCCCATCAGCTTCCCCAATGTTCTAGATAAAGTACCCCATTATCCATGGAATTTGGTTTGCATTCAAACTCACTGTGATTGTAGGGGGGTAGGGGTAGTTGCAGGGGCTATAAATACACCCTTGGTCCCTGGTCTCCTTCAGCCGCCAACCGCCTGCCGCCATGAAAGTGGAGGAGCAGGTATGGAGGCGTGCTCATGTGCAGCAGCTCGCAGTATCATCATCGTCCACGCTCCACAGCTCGCTATCGGATCATGGGCTCAGTACGCAGCGCTAAAGGCGTCCAGCTGGAAGCGCGCAGAGCTATCAGAACACCGTCATGTCTCCACAGCCCAGGCTACAGCTCGCACAGCCACTGCACCCAACACTCAGCTCGTCAATCACAAGTCACAGTCAATGGTTCACGTAGGATATTGAGGATGGGCACAACGGAAGATGGGCATAGGCACACACAGTTCGCTGAAGCATGGAGTTCACCCTACATATGTGATGAGAGAATGGTTCTCTTGCGTGCTTGCACCTCACCTCAATGCCTCGACATGCCATCCCCCGTCTTCTTCTTCACCCCCTCCATGTAAGGAACAATGTTGTTTGTGTTGCTGACTTCTTTCATGTTGATTCACGCGTACACATCTCCCTCTCCCAGCCCATCTGACAATCCAACGTGAACCTTCACATCGATCTTGCAACACTCGTGTTCAGATCCTGCAAACGCTCTCTCAGCTGTATCATACTTTCCAATTCAGACCTTTGGTGTTGCTTATCTTCCTTCCTTCCACACAAGCCATCGTGCGATCTTCTGATGCGAATCACTTTCCTGTTGAGAATTGGCTTCAAGCATCTGACACGCGTTTAGCTGCATCCCGTGTGATTGCAATAGGTGTTTCCCGAGATTGTACTAATTCAGTTCAGTCATCGTGTGAGAGTGTGCACCATATGTGCTTATTCCATTTTTTTGGTTTGACACTTGCCATCCCTCGTGGTTGCCTGGATTGTAACTTTGGCTTGCTTCTGCACCTGCTACCCTCTGCGTTGGCTTTTCACACTGCTCGGTTTGCTTCAAAGTGTCTTGTTGGTGTCATCCTGCTGTGTCAGTCAGTTTGAAGGACCAGATCCCAGATCTATGCAGTGCACTCCATTCCCAACTTGTGTTCGTGAATCCGTTCATTCCTCGAAGGATCAAGGTTGTTGCTGGTTAGGATGTTGTGTGCAAGTCATGGCGCATGGGTTGTCTTGTCTCGTATGGGAGGAGAACGTTTCATCGGGGTTATTCTTGGGTTTATTGGGGATTGGTCTCATCACATCGCACTTTCCTTGGAATCGCAACGGCCCGCATCCTTGATGGTCACAAGAATAAAGTGGACCTTTATTCCTCGCGCTCGCGTCAAGATCACCGATTTTAATCAAAAAAATTTGGATTAGCAGTCATTTCTAGCACGTTGGTTAGCTATGCAATAGAGTTGATGGCGCTCTACGCTGGCTGGAGTATGAAAAACAAGCAAAGGACTTCGAGAGGTATTCAGTTTGCCTATGGTTTGATTCTTTGTGCTGAACCTTGGCCTTGCAGGAATTTCCTCTGGAATGTTGGTCATGGTTGTACCGACCAACTTTTTTTTTGAGCTGGCCTGAGGTGCTTGTACACCGATCGTCTCGGTGCAGCTCTTACAGCGTGTGATGATGTTAGGAAGGACATGTATTCTAGAAGTAATCGCTGATGGTGCTGTTTCTCTGTGTACCACGTTGCTTGCAACGTTGTTGATGTCTTGCAAGTTGTTTGGTCAAACTTTTGAGGGTCTTCTTTTATTATCCTATCTCACTAATTTACACGTTTCGAGTCTTGAAAATTTAACTTGGTAGAAACATTGCGAGACATTGCAAAGTGGTCATACGCTTGTGCAGCTTCAAGTTCGTTGTCGTAGAATCCAACCTACAGCAAGACATCAGGAGTGCAGATAAATAATGCAAATATGGGTAACATGAAGCGTCTTGCCGTCCGTGGTCATTCGCACTCTCCATTTGCGCTTCTGCTCGTTCCATCCTACCCCTGAAGAGAGGAAATCAGGCAAGGGAGGAAGCCTCTCTGAGAAGACAGACCGAGGTACTGACTAGTCTTTCGCTTCTCCAGCGATACCACATTCCCTCCTGGCTCCTGCAAGCGCTGCATGACACGAGATTCTTGTGCAGAGAAGTCGAAAGCACACCAGGTGCTTCTTGACGAATCTGCAGTACCGCATACCTTTCTTGTTCTGCTGGCACCTGCAGGAGCTCGTGACAACCCTCCTCGTCCATGGCCACGACAGCAGCCCTACTTGAGGCAGCAGGAGGTGAAGTTTCCTAAGAGGGCTACAGTCCGATTCTCCTCCCCGCTATTGATGAAGATCTGGAAACCTGCTCAACTCTCTGACCCCTGACAACTCCTGTTGACCTCAGCCGGAGGTGCGGGAGCTGATTGCAGCGACGGATGTCTGCCGACTGACCTCCCCTTGAGTGCTTCCGTCACATCTCGACCTGGGCCCTTATCACCGAGACTCCTCCTCCTCCTCCTCCTCCTCCTCCTCCTCCTTGTCCTCGTCCTCCCCCTCCCCCTCCCCCTCCTCCCCCTCCTCCTCCTCCCATCACCGAATCGGTTTCTCGCCATCTGCATCGCCACCAGGCCCTTCACTTTGCAGAAGTTCCCCTGCAGTGCCAGTCTCAGCCCCCGGGGCACTAGGGAGCCGCCGAGCCTTCTCGACCTTCAAGTGCTTCGCCATGTTCCTCCTCGAGATCTGCGTGCCCGTGTCAACGCAGCAGGAACAGGCTTCGCTCAGGAGCAGGACCTTGCGGAGACAGAACTCGCACAGCTCCCGCTGCGATCGCGCGCTCTCGTTCCTTCCTGTCACTCTCACCTACGCACACGTTTGTTGAGCCCTCCGCTGTCCCCGGCACAACAGACCTGCCCAACATCCCGATGCTCCAGGCAAAAGAGCGGGGCCCCACTGCCAGCTCACCTCACTCTCTCAACCCACCACCTCCTCCACCAGAAGCGCAGCAGCACCAGCAGCAGCACCAGCAGCAGCAGCACCAGCAGCAGCAGCAGCACCGCCAGCAGCAGAAGCAGCAGCAGCAGCAGCGCTTACCTTGCGTTCTGATTGCCGAAGGTCGCCCATCTAGTGCATCCCTCGGGGTACTTGCATCGGACACTCCTAAGGTACTGCTGAGAGTCACTTCCGGAACAAATTCATCCCCTCCCCTCCCCTCCCCTCCCCTCCCCTCCCCTCCTCCTCGTCCTCCTCAATCTCTCACCGTGTGATTTTCTCCCTTGTGCCGTAGGCAGTACATGACGATTCCGTCCTCAACATTGCCAAAAGAGGCCTAGGGAGCATGTCAGCCAAGGAGGTGATGGACAAGAAGTCTCGCGCGACTTGTTTGATGCATCCAAATCTCTGGCATCTGGTGCCGCTGCGACCGGAGTCAGGCAACCAAGGGGGGACGGGGCAGCATGGGACCTCAGAGCGATGTCTCCTCTCCCCTTGTGCTCCCCGCAGAACAACGGGATCGACGTCCCGAACACCGAGGGCCTCGAACATCCTTCCGGGTGCTGTGCGTCTGAATCAAGAGAAGGTTGGTCGCCATGAACACACGGGCAACCTGACATCTCTTCTTCCGAAGGTTCACGTGCGAAGCGTTCTTGTGCTCCTAGTGCTTCGTGATCACGGTCAACATAGTCACTTGCGTGCAGACCTTGCAGTATGTTGCCCTCCCTCTCGACGGATCTCCGTAGACTACAAACAAAGGTCGGTCGTGCTTATCCAGGATTGACATCACGTGTGCGGTGTGGGTTTACCTGCCTTCTGCAAGCAATCGTCGTATTTACATATCAGAGCACTAGATACCTTGTCTCCCTCCTCCCTGCACACTTATCAGTCCTCCCTACTCACATCTCACAGACGACTTGCTGAAGCTGAACGAACCTGTGCAATCGGCATCGAAGGGGGTCGAAGATACTGGGACCATAACGCGCCCTCTTCTCGCACACAGAGCACTTTTTCTTCAGCAAATAGAAAGAAATTCTGTTGACTTGAGACAGCTCAGACACATTTCGCCCTTGCAATTCTCTATGGAACTAATTTGTGCGTTCCTGAGATTTCCACAGCTTGAACACTTAACGATTCCATTGCTGGCAATGTGTTGGACGTGCTTGATTTCATCGAATACCATATTGTCAACGATCTGACGTTCTCCTCTGCCTCGCACATCCATGGCGAGGAAGAGCAGAATGACGAGATAGGGCTTCTTGATGCCAGTTCGGCGATACATCTCATGGGACTGAAGAACTGGAAGCTCTTCTTTGATGACAGTTTTCTTCTGCAAGCTCCCTCGCTCTCTTCTTTCTCGCTCGCTTGTGTTCTTCGCTCTTCCCTGCACCTCCCGTCTGCTGCCTCCTCTTCTCCCCGCCCCTCTCACCCCTCCAGCCTTGCATCGCTTGGCGCAAAATGGGGGCCAACCTCTGGGGTCTGAAAGGGGATGAGGGGATCGTACAAACTCACTACCGTTCCGAAGTTCCCGGAGTCCAACTTGACGGTCAGTGAGTCACTCTGAGTAAAACCAGCCGGCCCGGTAGCCGGCCGGGCCCCGGGGCCTGGTGGCCGTCGGGTCCGGTGACTTCAGTGTCGACTCAAGTTTACTCATACAGAACTTGAAAAGTGTGACAGCTTCATCTCTTCTTGAAAGGATTCATACGAGCAAAGATGCTCTTCTTCGACTTTTCTCCCTCCTCCTCCTTCTGCTCCTCCTCCTGCGTCAGTCGCGACTCTTGCGATCTCAGACTTCCTTGTACTGACTCTGAGCGATAGGAGCCGCTTGCACCACCGTAGCTGGAGGAGGCCATGTTCGAAGAGTCGTTGCGCATGCCCTGATTGAGAGGGTCGTACATTCCGAGCTCCTCCTCCTCCTCCTCCTCACCGCTGGCAGCTTCATCCTGATCCAGCTCCAGCTCGACGCTCGAGCTCCTGACGCCTTCTGAGATCTCCTGGGAGGACAGGTAGTCCAGCCCTTGCAGCCGCAGCATGTCCTTGCGGTACTGCTCGGCGACGGCGACATTTCCTTTCGCTGCCGCTTTCTCCATCTTCTTCTGCAGCCTGGCGACCTGCAGCTCCTCGGACTCAGTCAGGACTTTCCCTCCCCCCGACCCTCCCGCGTTCGAGCTCGAGAGGCTGCCCCCGGAGGCTTTCCTGGCTGACCTGGACGTGACAGCTCTTGACCTCTCCTCCCTCTTCCCGGCCTTAGCACGGCTGTCGTCAATTCCGAGGAACTGCATCAAGTTGTTCTCATCCTCCTCCTCCTCCTGCGCCATCCCCCACTGCTCCTCCTCCGTGTCTTCGTCTTCTTCAACGTCGTTGGGGTCCATGAAGCTTCTCTGCGCCGGAGTACCTGAGCTGCTGGGCCGCGTGCTCAGCCCGTACTCGGACTCTCCATCGCGCGTCTCCGAACGGAGGATGCAGCGCACGCGCAGCCAGAGGCGAGCAGGGTGCTGATCGTCGAGGTCGATGGGTTTGAGTGACCTGTCGAGGAGGGGGAACCAACCGTTGGCTGAGCTGTTGCTCAGCAGCAGCTGGTGGAGCTGAAACTGGACCATGCCTAGGAAGCCTCCTCCTCCTCCTCCTCCTCCTCCTCCCCTGCTGTTGCCCCAGTCGAGGATTTCGAGGGTGAGCGGCTTGGTGAGATCCTCAGAGAAGAGGTTGAAGGATAGAGTCTCGTGGAACTCCGGCCTGCTGCTCTGCTTGATCACCTTGCTCTCGTACAGCTGGCCGGCGACGGTGACGCGCACGAAGGGATCGGGGAGGAAGCGCTCGTCATGGGAGAGGTTCTCAGCAGTCCCGATGTCGATCTTAAGAAGGATCGGGAGCTGAGAAGATAAGTTCAGCTCAAGTCAGCAACTCGCGATGTGGCATGCAGGCATGACATGTCAAGCTGATCGAGGAGCATCACGACACACAAGGCAACATCAAGAGGAGAGAGGAAAACATCCTTCCAGCAGAGTACAAACAAGATATCCGGCACAACAACACCAGCAAGGAACAAACAGACACACCTCCCAACCCACCTCATTCCCCCTCCCATCACTCCCCCCACCTTCCCCTCCCTCCTCCCTTTCCTCTGCCCCCCATGAACACGCGCATCATCACGATCCGCAGCTTCACTCACGCTCTCTCCTTCGATGCTTATCTCCAGCACCGACGGGTTGTCTTGGAAGATGAGTGGCCGCCCGTCCGGCCGCCTCAGCTGCAGCGTCTCGTGGAACTCCTGAGACGACCTACCGTTGATGTCCCTCCACAAAACCTTGGCGGACCCGACGTGGGAGGCCCGGTTGGTCGTGACCTCCCACTCCATCACCGAGAACTCGAACTCCGACTCGTCCACCGCGTCGTTGACGAAAACGCGGAACGTCTGGTCGAAGACCGGGTTCAGTGAGCCCTTGGCCGCCCGCGTCTGGAAGGCCCTCCCGCCGTACTGCAGCTGGACGAAGGGACAGTAGGAGAGGTTGTTGTCGATGACGTTGCTGCTCAGGTCCGGTAGGTTCCGGCACTGGATGATGGTGACGTCGAGGTACTCAGTCGCCTTGAACTCTCCCCGCGATCGGATCTCGTTCTTGATCTGCTCCGTCTCCAGCAGGATGGGGACTGGAGGGAGCAAGTCAGACACACGAATTCTCCTTCCCCTGACCTCTGGAACCCTCACCGATCCCTTCGGAGAACTCGGCGATCGAGATCTGACCGTCCTTGTTGATGTCTGCAACCTCGAAGATCCTCTCAATCTTGGAGGCGGAGAAGCCGAAGGTCGACAGGGCCACCGAGACCTCCTTCCAGCTCAGGTACCCGTTACCGTCTGTATCCATCAACTTGAACAGCTCTAGAGCATCGGAATCGAACGCCTTATGCGAGTGGGAGCTGCTCAGCTGCGACCGAGCAGCCGCGGCATCTAGCGCGCTCCTCTCATCGGTGAGGACAAGGTGTGACGTCTGGCTGCCGCGGCGATCGATCCGATGCACCTCCTGCTGCTTTTTGCCCTTCATGTCCGAGGAGAAGAAGTCGATGTCAAGCTCCCCGAACTTGAGGCTCTTCTCCGACCCCCGGCTCTTGTCGTACTCAGCGCTCTGCATCCCGAATCTCTTGTCCGCCATTCCGAACTTCCTCTGGGAGTCTCTAGAGGCCATCGAATCAAAGTCCGACAGCTTCGCAGGAGCCTGCTTCAGCTTCATGTCGTCGTCATTCGCAAAGGAAAACATCTTCTCGTGTCCCTTGGCCGCCTTTGCTGCTGGGCCAGTGCTCGGGGTAGGAAGCAAGCCCTCGTCCTCGTCGTTGAACCCAGAGGGGAGCGCGAGGATTTTCTTGCGAGTAGCTCGTTTCCCCAGGTGATACTTGGCCGTGTACTTCATCCCATCGGTCAGAGTCACTGTGCCCTTCCCGTGCTTGAACCCTCCTACAAACTCTCCCTCAAACCTCTCTCCCGTCGGGAAGATGTACACTCCCCTGCCCGACGGCTTGCCATCCTTGTACTCACCCGTGTAGCAAGACCCGTCGGCGTGCCTGTAGATCCCCTTGTAATGCTTCTTGTCCTCCTTGTATCCGCCTTCATAGATGGCTCCGTTGACAAACGACATTCTTCCTTGCCCGTGCTTCTTCCCTTGACGCAAGTGTCATCTTAGACATAGGTCGAGTGAAGGCTTACCTCGGAGCCATTGCCCCTCGTACTCTTCACGAATCGACCAATATGTCAGTACGACAAGCGAACATGTGAAGCAAGCTCGCACCATCGCCGTTGGAATACTTGTACAACCCAACCCCGTTCCGCTTGCCTTCTCTGTATTCTCCTTCATACAAATCTGTAAATCAACTCACTATCCTGCATGTTCACGCAGGTGCTGCAGGTTTACCCCCATTGTGAGAAGTGTAGCGACCCTTTCCTTCCTTCTTCCCTAAGACCTACAGAGATGAAAAGTTTGTGCAATCAGCTCATGATGGGAGACTCAACTGAGATGTTTACCCATTCCCCTTCATATCTGCAAGCAAGAGTGTCAGGATAGAGCAAGTATGACTATGGCAGAGGATGGAAGGAGAAGACACCTGTCTCCACTCCCCGCGTACTCCACGACAAGAAAGCCATGGCGCTGGTTGGCCATGGACCTGCCTTGTCAAAGTCAAGATTGATTCTAGAACAGAAGGTCGAAGAATGGATCTATTCTAAATCTAGAGCAGGCGTCTAAAGTTTGATTCGTCCTCTTCTAGTCTTGCTACCTACCCTCTCGTCTTCTCCTAGCATATTGATGAGTAAAACATTTCTGTGGGTGCTCTAAATCTAGAACAAAATGCGAACATGTGAAGTGGGCGAACATGTGAAGTGGGCGAACATGTGAAGTGGGCGAACATGTGAAGTGGGCGAACATGTGAAGTGGGCGAACATGTGAAGTGGGCGAACATGTGAAGTGGGCGAACATGTGAAGTGGGCGAACATGTGAAGTAGGCGAACATGTGAAGTGGGCGAACATGTGAAGTGGGCGAACATGTGAAGTGGGCGAACATGCAGTAGGAAAAGGGTTGAAAGGGGTGAGGGTAAGAGGGGAGAAAGGGAAGTGGGCGAACATGTGAAGTGGGCGAACATGTGAAGTGGGCGAACATGCAGTAGGAAAAGGGTTGAAAGGGGTGAGGGCAAGAATTGTGTTTCAGATGTCCGACCATACTTGGCGTGTCGATCTCGCCCGCGTTCTTCTTTGCCATCGTTGCTCTAGCACTTCTAATCTTTGCGTTGCTGAGAGGTGAATCACATCGAAAGGTTGCTCATGACTGAAGTGTTGCATACAGGTGCATGAATGCTCAAGACACTCACTTGTAATGTAACATGTATGTATTATCGAGGATATATGTTAGCGCTTTCTGTCCCAACGCAGCTCTTTCATTGAAGATTTCATGTGTTTCTGATGGAGCTTCAACAGCGTGGGAACATCGACCTTCGCCCCGACCCTCAGCCCCTGCCAGATTGTCACAAGCACACACAACAGCAAACTCTCATCTTGTCACCTTTGTCGTCTTGTGCAACGTTGACAGCCTCTGGTTCATGGCACTGAGCAGCTTTGAGGGGATGACATCATTCGCCTTTCCTTTCTTCCTTGCAATCTGCGCCTTCTGTCGTTCATACCTCGCCTTCTTCTCCTTCGTCGCCTTGTTCTCCTTGATTTCCCTCATCTGCGCAAGTTTCCGTTGAGAGCCAGACGCGCCGTCCTTGTTCTCGATCTTGAGCAGCAGCGGGTTCTTGGTGCCTGCTAAGATCGAGGCCCCGAGTCTTGAGCTTTCGCCTGCATTTCTGTTTCGGAGGGCGACATAGGCGTTGGCGGAAGCTTTCTTTGCGTTCTTCTCGTTTTTGCTTTCGCCGATGCTCTGTACCCTCAAATTGCTCGAGTCCTTCCATTTCTGATAGATCGCTCCGTCCTGTCCAGAGGTTTACGTATGTAACAAGGACTGGGCAGCCCTACCTTCTCTTGTTGAGAGCTCAATCGCCTAACACGATTGCCAGCTTCGTTTCTCAGGTAGCGGATTTCTTTCTGTTGTTCTTTGTTCAGGTTCTCGTACGTCGTGAACCTCTTCTTCTTCTTATCCCAGATCTTTCGCTGATGCTCGCGTTTCGCAATGTCTTCAATATCATCGCCCCCCACTTCAAGTACTTCCTGATTGAGGTCTCCTTGCATCGACCCGCCAGTACTAACTCTCAAACTCTTGTCCTGTGCTCTCTCCGACATACCTGGGGATAACATGTCATTTCACGTCGTTCTTCAGACATCATGACCTTGCAAAACTTCAAAATCTGGCACCAAGACGGGCTGTTGCGCTCTTAGTTTCTGCCGATAAGTCGGTTTGACACTTTCTGAATTCAACTCTCTGATGAGCAAAGATGAATTGAGGCTTTTCTCTGATGACTCTGCTGGATGCTGCTGTAATCCGTTGGCTAGATACTTGGAAACAAACTTTGAATGTCTTTGAAGCCTCCAACCCGCCTGTAAAAAAAGCAATTTAGGACCTTGAAAGGGAGTCAGATCGACGTACTTCCTTACGAACCCCATCGTTGAGCTCCCACAAGATTTTCTCCCCTGGCATAAGGAAACTCCCTTTCTTGATGGACAGCTTCGAGCTTGACTCCAGGAAAGCATCCCTTTGTTCCTGTCCCTTGAGGTCAGATCAGCCAACAAGAGACGTTTGTACCTTCTCTTCGAAAAGATCAGCCTCTCCCGCTAAGTGGCGAAACCAGTGATGGACCTGCAGATACGCCAATTCTGTGTCCAAGAGATCGTTGGCTTGTCTGACATCTCAGCTTCAGCTCATTACACAAATACATTTCCAACAAAATACTTCTTGCTCTGATCACTGGGTGAAGGACAAGTTTTGAGGTACAACTTGAATCCTCTGGTTGAAATAAGAAAATCAAGGAAGCGTTTTGGACGAGGCCTCTGTTTACCTCCGCGCTGTCGCCGCTTGACCTTCAAGATCATAGTCCTTGAGAAATATTTGATGAATAGCTCTTGTCCAGTATCCAATGTAATCTGTCGGCAACTTTCCAATCAGGAAGTTGTCTGCGGCATCTAACAGGCATCCTCCAGCGGATTTCACGTTCTGATCATCAGGGGTAGTTCTCATTTTCCGCCCAAGGACAAGATTTGCATCGATGAGATGCGGAAGGTCTTCTGGAGTAATGAGGGAATAGACGGTGCCTATCATCCCTGCCCTGCCTGCACGACTGTCCGACAGGTCAGGGGCCGGTGACCTTATGAGCAATTCTCACCCGCAACGATGAATGAACAACTTGGGAGTACTCGGAAAGTCAAAATTTATGACGTAGTCCAGGAGAGGGATATCAATGCCACGTGCTGCAAGGTCTGTGACGACTAGAACCTTCATATCACGATAATCAGTACAGCCAAAACTATTACTACCGGACAACCTGAAGTCTTTTCTTCGCAAAGTCTTCGACCAGAATTTTCCTTTGCTCGTTGTCTGCGTGCCCATGGAGCCCTCCCACCTGGAAGCCTGCGTGTCCCAGCACCTGCGTTATAAGTTCCACGCTGTGCCTTGTGGCGCAGAAGATGAGACATCTTTTCTTGAACTTCTGGTCTTGAAGTTTATGCACATTCGAGGCTCCCCAGGGCGTCAAGGGATGAGGATTCATAATCAAGTCTTGAATTGACGGTAATGTTGTATTACCCGTCGTGTCAAGAATATTGCTCAGTAGGAAGGCAAGTCCGGGAAGTTTCTCGTAATCCAAGACATAAAAGTATCCGACTTTGAGGCTTTCGGACATTAGAGTATCAGTATCTAGGCGTATCAGGATATGATCTTGCACATCGGCTGATGCAAAGTCTGCGAGCTCCTTTGGCATTGTAGCACTGACCAAGATCATTTGCCTGAAAGGTTTCTTCTTCACCGCTCTCTCGCTCTCTTTTGTACCATTCCAGTCACTCCCATGCAATTTTCCAGCTCTTGATTTTCGCGTGGTGCGAACGATTTTGATTTCGTTCTGCGACGACATCGCTGCCATGATCTCTTGTACTTCATCTATCGGTAAAGAAACAATGAGTGCACACAAAAAGATCGCTAGTCAGAGGCTCACGTATCAGGGAAGTCTCGAACAAGCGATCAGCCTCGTCAAGGACGCAAACCCGAACTCCCTTCAATGAGAACGTGCGGACCTGTCAAACACGATCCAGCTCAGAACTCTCACCTTGGATAATAAGAAAGAAAGCCGATGTTGTCACCCACGCCTCACCTCGTTCAACAGTTGCAGCAATCGTCCAGGTGTAGCGATGACCACGTTCGGATTTGTTGCTAGTGCCGCGAACTGCGGCTCCAAGGCTTCTCCACCAACGATCAAGCAGGCAGTCAACTGCGTGTACTTGGCATATGACTTGAAAAAATTGAAAGTTTGCAACGCAAGTTCCCTAGTTGGGACCAGAACAAGACCTTGTATGCCAATCACTTTGCCCTGAGCCCAGTTTGAGTCACTTATTGCTCGAATTCTCTGAATCAGAGGAACCAAGAAAGCGGCCGTCTTGCCTGATCCTGTTCGAGCCATCATCACAACATTAGCCCCGGATAAGAGTTCAGGAATCGATTTGCGTTGCACGGGCGTCGGAAACTTGTACCCTGCATGCATTAAAGCCTTGGCTATCGAATCCTCGATCCCCAAGGCAGGGAAGGAGCCAGGTCTATGTTTCTTTGTACCAGCTTGATCTCCATCCGATGTTGCAATTTGGTCCCTATAATTCTTTCTGTCTGTGTAATTGCCTTTAACAGTTGCACGAATCTTCGCTCGCAACTTTCCCTTTAACTCTTGTAAGCCCGATGGCTTGGGATCTGTTCTTCTGGACGATTTTCTGAACGGTTTTCTCTTAGTTTGACTTCGTTTATCTGGTCCATATTTTGATTTTCTTCGTTCACGTAATCCATAGTTTCGATCCTCATCCTCACGTCCTCTCGATCGTTCCCCCCCTTTCATCTGCATGCAGAAGAACGGTGAATGTCCTTTCTGACAGATTTGGATGCAAGCTCTTCCTTTGGTGCGTAGCTTCCTGTTGTACAAGTGGAACTCTCCACACATACCTTCTTCGCTGCAAGTCTTAGTTTTCCTTGAGACCCCACCATCTGATGTCGACACGCCCAAGGTCCAGGCGCAACGCGAACTTACAGTTGCTCGCGCGGTCTCAACCACCAAGTGCGAGGAGGTTCTGAGCCTCTCCAGCGTGGCCGATGGTAGCTCGTTCTTGATGGCTCCTCCTCCAACCATGTCCTCCCTCCCTCCTCCCCCCGAGCATAACAGCAGCCATGCTAGCAGCACTCGCTGCATGAAACCCCGATCCGCCTCCTCAATTGACTCATCGCCCTCATTCTGGTCCCAACTTTTTGACTAAACATTAGTATGAACCCCACTATGCAGGCTGCTGGATGCAGGGGAGAGGGGAGACATGGGTGGCAGTACAGGGGCGAGAGGAGATGTGAGGACGGAAGGATGGAATGAGATCAGAAGAAAACTTAGCTGAGCAGACTGCTGACTGATCGGTAGAGGTCAATGTCTCATGAAATTTCATTAGGTAGAATGCCGAGGAAAACAAAAACAAGCAACAAACGGCAGAGGTGATTCAATCAACTTTCCTCTCTTGAATGGCATGATTCTTGATCTCCAGACACTTCCTGCAGTGCCAAATGGAGGTTGACTTGAGCTCGTGTTGCTAGAGTTTCATGCTGTTGACCACAGGCCCTGAGGAGAACGTGATTGATCATGAGAAAGCGGATGGTTTGGTTCAAGATGCTGTGCCCGATGTTGAGAACAAGACAGAGCAGCCATCTCAGGACGATGTCACGCCAGTAATGGCAGAGGGAAAGAGTGTTGAGGAACCCAAATCGGTGACCAAAGAAGAGGCTGTCGCAACCCAGGTTGAGCAGGGAGGCAATAATGCATGCAAGGTGTGCAAGTCTAAGAAGAGAGTCGGTAGGGGGAGGAGAAGACTTGGCGAATAAGAATTGAAGCCTTTGGCAGTTCTCATAGACTACCAGACCTTACCGGGTGGCTTGTCTGTCCCGGGAGTCTACTTATGCCGCGACTGCATTAATGAGCAGCCGACGTCCACAGATTGGATGGTGTGAAAAATAACGTTTTGACTTGTTTGCGACTAAGTTAAGCTGCTTCAGGTATGGGATTACTGGAAGAACAATCGGGGTGGTTGAGAGAGGTGTGAGTGACTTTGAATGTGACAAAGTCCACGGGAAATCAACACGGAAGAAATGTATGTGTAGTGCAATCCCTCTCCAAAGATTCTTTCTATTCTTTTAAGATTGGTATATTATACAGCGGAATCGAATGCTAGTCTTTTCAAATCATGGACGTCGAATCTGAACCCGAAGAGTTCTCGGGTACAAGGCCTTTCAGGACCTGTAGACCATTCAGCAAGGGCATCAGGATTAGGAAGCGTGTTTGAGTTCTCACAGCCTGACACTGCAGCCATATCGAAGTATGGGAGGGCTCCTGTGAGCTAGAGTTGCTCTCCGCCTGATTTGAACAAGTTCAAGAGTGCAAAGTCCCATCCCTAAACCTACCTCAATATCCTTTGCAATCGCGTCCAAGTTCGCTGTGACCAATCAAAGATAGAATTAAGTCAAACCGCTTACTCTCAGAAACAAATGTAGAATCTTCAGGAGCAGATGAACAGAATTGATGGGATCCGACGTAGAGAATGATTGGGGAACACTTCCTGTAAAACTTGTTATTTGGACCTTCAGATAGCTTTTCCATCCCTGCCTTGCTTTCAATCCAAAATTATGCTTGCAATTCCATCTGTAGACATACATCAGCGCGACATAACGTCTGCTTCATAGCAGCCCAGCATAACAAGACAAGGCTAGAATCACCCGTGAAATCTCGTCTGTTGCTCATCTGAGCCGCTCTCAGGACTGATCCCATAATTGCGCACATATGCCATCAGGTATATCTTTTGACTGTGAATGCAATCAGTATTTCAGCCAAGGGGTGATTTTACATGCTGTCTTACGGGAGAGAAGGACTATCAAATTCAGAGATTCCGCTACCGATGCACTGTCTCACAATTGCTCGAGAAGCATCCTGTCACGTACCATCAGAGATTTGATCCAAGTCACAAATGAGTTACCATTCCCAATTTCTGAAGTTTGCTGCTTTCAATATCTTCTGTTGAAGCTACAAAGTGTTGTCATGTGGAAGGAATTGCGAAGGATACAATACTGTACAATCATCGAATTTCAGCAAGAAAAGCTGCCTAGGGTTGATTGGTGTTGGACCAAACGCAATAGCGATAGAGGTAACGTCGTGATGGCTTTGGCGAAAAGATCACAAACTGTTCTGCGTGGAGTCAAGTGTAAACTCACGCAAATAGTTCGTGGAAGGATTCAAGGGCATAGTCAGAACCCTCAATAAACTGCGGGAGTAGTCATGATGAGTTCGAAAACCGATTGCCTGTTCAAACTTTTCTGCATTTTCTTGAAAGAGCTTTTGATCGAGCAGTCTTCTTGCTTTGAGCGTCCTGTGCTCTATTCAATCATCAACACATTCATAATCACCATCACAACGTCTGCAACAAGCACTTGCTTGCGAAATTGATCGTACGGTCTGGTACATTCAAGAATACGTCAGATGTTCTGACAACCCGTTGCACGTGCTAACATGGGTATCTGCTGCCTGATGAAGAGGAGATGCTTTAAGAACGCCTGAGCCACTTGCGCTTGACAGTGCCGGTGCAGTCGAGCGGGGAAACCGCAACTGAGGTGATGCACCTGAACCACGATTCATGCGTCAGAGTGAACAAATGAACGCAAAACAAGGGCAGCTTTCCTTCTCCATCTTCTGTCTTCTCAGTGGCTTCTTCCTCCCATTCTCTTGATGGTCCATCCTGGAGGAAAGTAAGACTTCGACAAAAAAAGATCCATCCCTTCCAGGGAAAGAAAAGGGTTCACCCCTGCAGGCTCCCCGCCAACCGCCCCCCCCGCTCCCCCCCGGGGACTCTCAACTTTCCCTCCCTCCGTTGCTCATTCCAGCTCACACCCTCGGCATGAAGATAGCAAGACCTCTCCCTCGCCATCGCTCTACGGTGACCTCTTCCTATCCCTCCTGCAGGAGAAGCCATCTCCCGCTGACCACAAACTTGAATCTCCCGCCATAACAATCATTCATATGAAAGTTACGATGTCGAGCGACATAGGTATGTACTGCTGTCTTTTAGTATGACTTAATAAAGCATCGCGAGGCGGACTTGCATTGTCTTTTACTCCGGGGCCGATCACGCCGGCCCCTGCCCGGGCCGGCGGAGCACCGTGACGCCCGGCCCTACGGCGGCGCCCAGCCTTCGGCTCTTCACGATGCCCCTCGATGTTCGTGGAGTCTCAGCATATAGTATTTACTTACTAGTTCTGTTCATCTCTTCCCTTTCTGCGATTCCTTTCTGTCTTTCGCCTTTGGTCTCTGGAACTCACTAAGACAGCAGAGACTGTCAGTGTTGTTGCCCTCCTCGGCGCTAGCAAAACGAAGGCGGAAGGACGCGCCGCTCTTGGAGTGTCTTGTCCTCAACGCTATGAGAGGGAGCTCCAGCCGCATCTCAGCCCTCGCCTGCAAGTAATGAGGGTCATGCCGAGGCAAGGAGATGGCGGTGGGGTTCTTGCCGTGGTCTTAAACTGAAGTTTGATCTCCTCAAGCTCCTCTTGGCGCTTTTTCATCTCGGGCAAGTCAAGCAGCTCTGCTTCCTCCTCGGTGTCGTTGACTGGGATGACATCCAGTGCCATCATCTCCTTGAACATCTCGATCTGCTCATCTCGTGAGGAGAGACCTGCAGGCAGGCAGACAGGAAGCTCTGACCTTCTCTTCCGGGAATCTTTCAGCAGTCACGGGGACATGGTTGAGCCACACATTGACTAGGAAAGTTATTCTCTTCTCCTTCTTGGAATGCTGGTGTTTCCACGCATCGGCGTCAGCAGGAGCGCCATGCAGAAGTCTTCCATCGAACGAGACATGTTTGCCTGGGATCTTGTCAAACCCTGTGGACGTCCGGTCGCAACAATCACAGACTCACCAGGTGACGGTCGGCTCAGTATGCCCTCAGCTATTTCACCCAGAATCTCCTCCAGAGGCCCGGTCTCCATCCTGCGTCTGTGTGAGATGAAATCATTGCCATGGCACATTCACGGAGAGATCTTGTCGAACACGATCGTCGGGCCTCCAACTCCGGTCAGGTATGTCACCTGTTCCATGCTCTCTCAGCATACGTTCCTCTGCCTCCCACGAAGCTGACCGTGGAGAGATGGGGATGCACAAGGATGCCGCTGGTCGACTCGAGCTCGTAGTCTCCTGTGGCATGAGGGTTGGCGTCTAAGGTTCGTTCACTCGGGGCCACTCACTGTCCCAGTGTAGCCCGACGTCGTCTCCAGGCTCGAAAGCCAACGTCCACCACCTGCGGGACTCAGCGGCTCGTCGTCAGGGGGGAGCATGCTTACTCAGCTCCAGACTTGGATGGTTCGTAATGGACTCCAGGCTCTAGTCCTTGGGTATGAAACTCAAAAACAGCCTTCGCCAGTTTCTGGCAGCAAGTGTTAGTGGAGCTGTTTCAAATCAGCGTGACTCGTCCGATACCTCCAGGGGCATTCGAGGCTCAGTGTCCGATGCGATCCAAAATGTTTCGCCTGTGCTATATTGTTGGCCACTTCTTGTATTGCGCGCATTGAATGCCAGCTGGCAGCTTTGCACAAGCTGATTGAACTCCTGCAAGGAATTTCAGTCGCTCCTTGCAGTTTCACAACTGACAACCTTTTCTTTCGATGAGTCCAAGAACTTGGGAAAGTTCCGAAAGTCGTAGTTCAGGTCTGGATAACATGGATTCGATGGGAGGATTCCTCCAGGCACACGACCGAATTCATCAAGAACCATCTCTTCTTCCTCTTCCTCCTCCTCCTCTTCCTCCTCCTCGCCCTCCTCCTCATCAGAATTCTGCATGGGATCAGCTTCTCCCTTCACTACTGTCTCTTCCGATGAATCCGTGTTGGGCCTTTCCTGTTGTGTATCGTCGTGGGAGTGTTCGCTCGCAGACCCGTCCAATCTCAGCCTTTGCGACTCAGGTGGTTGGATAGCGCCATCAAGTTCTTCCACAGTCCTCTTGCCCGTATCGTGCATGCTGGACGGCATACTTAGCGATGGAGCAGTCATCATCGAAGGCGATCGAACAACTCCTCTTTTCCCGCAAGGCGCATGGCGACACGCAGAAACTGCATGCAGCAAACAAAGCAGGTTCACAAGACTAAAGAGTCTAAATACTCTACAAGTCATCCTGAGGTCGCATGTCACAATGTTTCTCACTTCTCAAACACATCAGCTCAAGATCCTCTTTCATCCTCTTCTCATATGCACATGTCTTCCTGCCATGCCCCCGTCTCCATCCCTTCTCCCCTCAGTACAAGTACATCTTGTCAGTTCTGACCGGAGTTGTGACCGCACGTGCCCTTTCTGAGGCGAGCTTAGAAAATCGAAGCGACCGAAAATGCCAAGACTCGGCGATGATACAATCGAGCGAGAACGCCGGGAGGGGGGAGGACTAGGGGCAGCGAGAAGGAGCAAAGTGAGAGTGAGAGAAAGAAGAAGCAGAATGAGCAGGGACTAGGGAGATGAGCAACGAGAGCATTTGTGGTTTGAGGTTCAAGATGATACTTCTAACGCTCTCTTTCTAGGAACTCACCTGACGAGGGTACAAGATTACAGCCAACTTGCGTTTCGTTCTCTTCTCCTTATTGCTGCTCTCAAATATCCCATTGTTCGAAGCGATGGCATGGGGTAAGCGACAAGGAGTTTCAGACTGGACAGGCCGTCTGGCTGAGAATGATCCGGGGCTTACTTCCCTACTGCTCATGAAAAACAGGGTGATGGAGACATCGTCTTGGAGAGAGTTGTGTGACTCGATAGCGCACAATCATGTTCTGAATGAGCTGAAGGCAAGTGGCCACAAGTTGGAACCGGAATCAGTCTCTGCCTTCTCTAACATGCTGAAGCATAATAAAGCGCTAAAGCGGCTTGCCATCGGAGACAGTACATTCGGTGACGAGGGTCTCACATTGTTGGCCCCAGGTCTTGCAGAGAATGCTGGCCTGGAGGCAATCGAGCTCGACTATAAAGGCATCACAAGCGAAGGGGTTTCGACCTTGCGAGAAGTTTTCCTCAAGAACAAAGTGCTCAGATCGATTTCGCTGTCGCGAAATTCAATTAAGGATGAAGGACTGAGCAAGCTCTCAAGCATATTCGGGGAGGCAGGTGTAAATCTCGAGCGAGTCGACTTGTCATCCATCGAAGTTGGTGATGTCGGCATGAAGGCGTTGGGTTCAGCTTTGCTCAAAGAAGATGTTTACATCGAGAGCTTAAACCTGGCAGACAATCCCTCCATGACGGGTCAGAGCGTTGCAACATTGTGGACTGTACTTTGTCGTCCACACAACAAGATCAAATACCTGGAGCTTGACGGCTGCCCGCTTGCCTTCACGGGTGATCCCCGACTCGAACCTCACTGTTGTGACGCTTTTCCAGATGAGTCAGCATCAGCATTCTCAGCTTCCTTGTCAGATTCGAACTGTAGATTAGAATCTCTCAGGTTCCGTCTTCTCCCATGTATCTCTCCTGTCATTCACGATGATCCAGCCTGAATGATTTGCATCTTGACGAACAACAAGCAAAGACGCTTGCTGCCGCGGTGGTGGGTTGCCCTGTACTTGGACAGGTGATGCCAGCACGCGACTGACACTCACCAAGTGGAACTGAAGGTTTTTGTTTGTGATGCTCTCAGGTGAGGATTCGCCATTCGGGACTAGACAATGAGGCCATCAAGATCCTTGCTCATTCGTCAGGTGCATGTTTGTAATCCGATGTCATGATTAACCCAACGCTGGAGTAGTGGGGAGAGACATCGATCTGTCTGGGAATAGGATCAACGGTCAGGGCCTCTTCACCGTTTTAACATCTTCACATTGCAAGTGAGATGACTGGTTCGCTGTTTTAACCTGTGACCGTTTGCGTTGCATCGTTCAGGATTGTCAAGCTCGGTTTGTTCAACAACAAGATTGCAGAGGGGATTCACTTTCCCACGAAGATCTCAGAGGAAGCTGAGAAAGGTTCGCCGGTAAAGCCGGAGGTTCGACCTGATTGACATGAGTGGCAGGGGAAGTCTTGTGTAGTAGCCTGAAGGAGCTAGACTTAGCTGCCAACAATCTTCCAGAGGTAGAGGCAAGTCTGACTTTTCAAGCTCTTCTGACGTTCTTCTCCTTGCCCACTTTGCAGCAATGGATGATCTCTTTGCTGGTCGCGCTCCGAGACCACCCTAATCTTCTGCCTTCGCTGCAGACGCTTGTGCTGGGTGATTCTTCCTGAGCTCCAACCTGTCGAGTCCTCACGGCCATGTCAGGCGGCAACGAGAACTCAGCAAGGCTGCGCGAGGACAACTTCGAGCTCTTGAATGAGCTGCAACTTCGCCAAGGTGATGCAGTACTGCGTCCAGCTTGTCCTCACCGTCTGTGCAGTGTCACTGCATGTCGTTTGCGATACTACGAGCGGCGGAGCATGAAGGGTATTGAACCCCGGAGCTAGGGAGGGCGGGAAGGAGGGAGGAAGGGCGGAAAGGAGGGCATTGAGGGCTGAGGAGCAGTATGTTTCTGTGATTGGAATGAAGATGTATGCTTCATTGAGCAGCCAAGACTGAAGCCATGATGTGCGGCATACATCGGAATGAGAGAGAGACACTTGGCAAGTCCCCCTCAAGGAGAGGCAGTGATGCACGACAAGCAGGGGGACGAGGATCAGGGGAAGGAGCAGTAGCGCAAGGAGGCCCCTGAGGACAGGCTTTCCATTCTTTTTTCATTTTCTTTTTGAGTTTTACGATTGAGAAAAAGCGAGAAAAAGAAGATCGTAGAAGAGGAGGAGCAGGAGTTGGCCGAAGTGGTAGCCAGTCACGGGAGGGGAGAGCAGGGTAGAGCATCGAGTACTTGTTGGGATGACTGTGATAGAATGAGCACGATGAACATGCAGAGAGATTGTTAGAGCACAGTTCTGTGATCACCAGAACTTGCTCTTAGAGGAATCTATCAAGACTTATGCCATCTCATAGGAGATAACAATCACTGCGTTCCTCTGACATGTGCCATGGCAGATGGTCGACTGGTCTCGTCAAGCTGTCATTCTCATACTGGCTGCGATGTTTGCCGTGTATTGGACTGGCAGGCAAGGGCTCTGGGACGCATTGCGAGGCAATTCTCCCTGGGAAAAGGAATGGCAGGACGCGAAGATGGCCCTTGTTAGGAGGCTATCCAACAAGTATGCTAAGCACCGCCGTGTTTATCTTTTCCCTATGTTGTCTTGCATTCCTGCCGGCTCTATCTCGCTGCAGCAAGATTAACTCGATCCATGACGGCAGGGTTGCTGACATTGCGAACAGATACGAGGTTGTGGATGGCGCCAACCAGAGGTTTGAGAAGAGGATCGTCATCTTGACAGCAGTGAAGCGTGACGCCAACACCTCCACTGCCCCTGTTGTGGTCGCCGAGATGTACTCAACGCGCCTCAACCCGACACAAATGCATGCAAGGAGGAAGCACGAGAGGATGCGAGACAAGAGGTCTGCTAGTGTCTTGCTACGTCTGCAGTTGTGTGACATCGGCACAGTGGAGGCGGGAAGGGAAGCAGAGGCGACAAGGGACCGGGAGGTAGCAGAAGATCGAGAGGGAGAGGCAGCAGATATGACATGCCAGTCCGAGAGCCAGTACTTACATGCTGTTGATTTGAAGAAGCAATCTCTAACCCGTTTCCATGCAGGTTGCAAGGTTGAAGATTTATGACCCTTCGCTGGATTATCTGAAAGGGATCTTCGGCAAGAATGCGAGAAGAGGACCTGACTCTCTCATCGATACCAATGAGCAGAAAGCCCCCAGCGGATCTGAGACTGATGAAGCTCAGAAGGTTTGTCGGAGGGTTCCGTCAATCGCTGTTGATTCTTTGCAACCAGAAGGCAAAGGGAGCTCAGGAAACTCCTCAAAGAGTGGAACTTCCGGATGAACAAGACGAGGGTTTTGATCGTTACGACGACGATATGCAGGAACATGATGAGTTCTAATGAAATTCATTCCTGCAACATGTTTGGCTCATTAGTCTCTGATTAACTTTTCTAGTAGAAGAAAGCTGTTCAGTGATGCGAGTCGACGGACGATCTAGGGTTTCTCTGGGGCTGCAGCGATGGGTGTCTCCTCGACACCATTCCAAACCTCGGTGAATTCTTTCCTTACCAGCGCTAGCAACGTAAAAGGAATCAGAGTTCCTGGAACCAGATAAATCATAGCAGGCTGTGCCAGGTGCAATGAGCCCACGATGATTTCGCATAACGTCAGAGCCACCAAGTATCCGGCCATTGTAACCGCAAAATATCCTTTCTGCATATCGATCCCTTTGTCGCAGTCAACTCGCCAGGCAAAGCATAGAAGCAAGCCGGGAAGTACAATATCGCCGAGACCGATGAGGGTGAATTCCAATTGCGACTTAGTCTCCTCCGTCAAGACCAGTGGGATCTTGTGTAAGAATACATGTGTCAGTCCAGAAATTCACATGCGAGACAGATTTACATACCAGAATCTTGATTGGAACATCCAAATCAGTAGCCACAGTGACCATGACGTTCTTGCCAAAGATTGAAGATGACATGAAAACCCAAAAGATATCGTAGCAGAAGGCCAACAGCAACAACACAGTAGCGACCATCAGACTTGACAACCTGATGTTTGCAAGAAAGAAAACCACTAACGAGATTGCAAGCACGTCATTCGCGATCCAATGCTTGGTGCACAGCCACAGGGCGACGACGAGCAAGGCAAGTGGAGCGACAAAGAAGGCTAACAGCGGGACTGGTCCGAGGAGAGGTAGGTCCACGTCCTTGGAAAACTTTCTTTCTGTCCAGTGATCGATGTACGGGTACAGCAGAAATCCAAAGGATATTGTGGCTACGAGGCTGAAGATGATAGTGATAAGAATCGACATGGCTGTACAGGGAGTTATGAACTAAACAGCAAACAAGCTTTCCTGTCACCTGACATGAAGTAGAACAGGAGAACCAAGGCAGCAGATGCGACAACAACAAACAAGATTGCTGTATGGAGCTCCAACTCTCCTGCAAGATGTTCAATGGGACGAAAACGAAATGAAAGCAGCAAAGAACCTGCTTTCTTAATCTCTTCATATTCGGCTATCTCGCTCTCTGAAAGCTTGGAGAAGTCGGTGAAGGGAGGCACATATGCGCGTCCGGCACAGTAGAAGAGAATCAACCCAGCAACCAACACGACAAGGAAGTTGGCAGGGTCAAGCCTGGCTTCCCTGTCCGCTGTTTTGACACCCGCGGGCGCCTTTTCCTGGAGTTTGGTGCTGTGATGATGCATATTCTGCGATCTTTTGACAGTTGCGCTAGAATGATATTCAATCTTCTGCGCATGGATCAGCACCGACAGGGATAGAATGAGCGCAAAGCCCCGAAGAATTTTCATTGTGAGGGAAGCAATATCGGGCAGGCTATGAATTCAATGGGCGTTTTGCCGGATTCGCCCTCCAGCTCGACAACCAAGTGCTAGTTACAAGTTGAGGGTCTCAGGAATGAAAGCAAGCAAGGGCGATGCCGAAAGAATCCAAGAGAGGAGGGAGGGAGGGAGGGAGGGAGGGAGGGAGGGAGGGAGGGACAGTCGGATGGATTGATTGCCCGATAGTGCGTGCGTCCCTATGAAAGTTAGTTGGTGGGGGGCGGGCGCGCGTTCTTTGTCGGGGGGGGCGGATG